TTTTGCTGTGCTCCTTACTTTACATAAATAAAGCCAAGTTTAAGAGCTAGTGACTGAGCTTAATGTAAATTCATTCCTTCATTCTGTCGTGACTCAGGTTTCTAACCTGTTGTGTTTTTAAACCCACCCCAAGTACTTCACCTGTGTACCAGCTTATGGTACTGCGGATGCCAGGGCCAAGACAGAGCCTTCCCCCAAGGCCTTGCACTGCAGCTGGTCTCTCTGTCTTGAGCAGTGGCTTTCACTCACAGTATACAGTTTCATCTTGCAGAGTACCAGGTCACTGTCAGCAGCCTCTGAGATCAATGTTGAGGGGACTAGGAAGCAGGACTCAGAGGGAGTAAGGCCTATAAACCATCTCAGCATGCTCAGGGTGGGGAGGAGAGCTGGATATGTGGGAGAGTGTTTTGCCTTCAGGTGAGAGGGTGGCAACCTCAGTCAGGGTCCCTGATAGCTGGGGACTTAGAACATCTAGCTACATTCTGGAAATGACTTAGAGACATTTAGAACTGAACTGTTTTGTTGTTAAAATGGATAATCCACATGTTTATAAAGGACAGGCAGTATTTTTCATAACTGAGTCCAAGAGGGGAAGGACAGAGCCTGCTTTGTGCCCATTTTATGGATGGTCGATGATCCTCTGCCCTGAGGCATGTTTGTGTATACACCTATCCTCGGGTGAGCACAGGCTGGTCAGGAAAGGATATGAGTTAATTTCAACTCTACCACCGTGTGGAGATGGGGTCAGCTTTGCTACTGCTGCTCCTCGATGGGCAGTGAATGCTGCTTTCCCTTTAGGATAGGACTGTGCATGTTTAGAAGTTGTCAGCCACCAGTGCAAGAGGCCCAGCTAAAGGCTGGCTGGTGGTGCCTACTAAGTGCAGCAGTCTCTGAGACGGGATTTCAGTGGAGGTTCCCTAGAAGGGCAGGTTCAACCCTCATACCTGTCTGGTCCTAAGGGACAGGAATACATTAGAGACTGAAACTGGGGGAGTATGGACAGAGTAGAAAATGAACTGTGCTTGTCACTTGAATTGTACCAATGCCATTTTTCTTTGCTTTTTTCCCTACCTTAAAGTTCAGACCTTTGGGCTCTTGGATGTATAATATACCAGCTTGTGGCAGGACTCCCACCATTCCGAGCCGGGTAAGAAGCACTTTGGCTCCCAAGCCTGAGCCCATCGTAGCACACTTCCTCCTGGCAGAGTGGGAGAGCAGTTCCAGGGACTGGTGGGCTAAGGAGGAACTTCCCTTGTGGCTCTCAAGTGCATAGGATGTGGTGGCTTGTGGGTGGCAGGGTAATGTTGGTTTGTCACAGGAAGGTTGTACCTGGTACTGGAGGCTTGAAGGATCCTCCCTGAATGATTTTTTTTTTTAATTCATAGAAATGAGTATCTTATATTTCAGAAGATCATTAAGTTGGAATATGACTTCCCAGAAAAATTCTTCCCTAAAGCAAGAGACCTCGTGGAAAAACTCTTGGTAAGCATTTTGAATTTTCTCTGGTAAGGAGACCCTGGCCACACATTGCATTCTCTGACCCTGTGCTTGAAGGAGCTTCCTGGAGGCCGCTGGGTTGAAGGACAGGTATGTTCAGGGTTGACAGAGATTGTAGATACAGTCATGTCTTGCATCTCACCTCATTATAATTCCTTTCACTTTTAAAGTGCCTGGTTGACTTTAATAAGACAGGAAATTACTGTATCATTTTGCATGTGCTCATCAACATTGCAGAGCTCTTTCAGTTACTGCTGCTGGTGCAACTGGATTTATTACAGTGGCAGATGGCTTAAATGCTACTTCAGTGATGTCTGTTGATGTCAACTTTATAGTAAGCTACATGCGGACTTTAAAGATCAACCCGGGTAATGAAATAAAAACAGATGGACCTGGGAAAGGAATACCAGTTTATATTCCAGAAACTAAAGTGTCCTGGGCCTGGTTGCTTTAGATGCTGTCTGCCTTCTTACCTCAATCTTGGGAGCAGAATCAGTTCAAGCTTCAGGATCAGCTTTTTCCCACCCGCCTCTGACTTACTCCTTAGTTTCTTTTGGTGGGAGTTGGGCTTGCTTTCATGTATGTCTGGTGGGTACAGGGCTTCTTGTCCCCCCTGTTTCTTTCTATCTCCAGGAAGAAATGATACTGCAGCCCTTTGAGAGACAGGGGTATTGAGCATCATGTCTATAAGAGTTTGCTGTCCAGGCTTTTTGTTCTTTTTGCTATTAGAGCTGGTCATTTCTTTTTTTTTTCCCCTCTAGTTGTAGGATCTTCTTAACTTCCTTCCCTCCTTTCTTTCTTTGTAATACTAGGAATTGAACCCAAGGCCATGTGCATGCTAGGCAAGCACTTACTGTTGAGCTTTATCCCTAGCTTTTTTTGATTATTTTGATATAGCATCTTGCCAAATTGCCCAAGCTGGCTTGGAACTCACAATCCTCTTGCCTCAGCCTTCTGAGTAACTGGTATTACAGGCATGTGCTACCGTACTTAGCTTGTTTTAACTGCATATTTTATTTATTTTTTGTTTTGTTTGTTGAGATAGGGTCTTGCTATGTAGTTCAGCCTGGCTTTGAACTTAACCATATAATTACTTTTTTTTTTTTTTGTAATTATGTATTTTAAAAGAATACTTTCTGCTTGCTATATTTTGAAGAAGTTGATGTTAAATTTATTTTCATCTGTGGGAGGCAGGAGGTAGAGCCTTAGGGTGAGGCAAGAACCCAGAGCAGCCTGGGGCCCCCATGGCAGGAAAAGCAGGCCTGGCATGGTCCTTCAGGAGGTACTAAGAGTCTAAAAGAATTTTGCTCAAAAACATCCTTTTTGTCAGAATTATGTTTTAACTCTGACAGTAACTTGTCTTGATTATCACTTAAGGTTTTAGATGCCACAAAGCGGTTAGGCTGTGAAGAGATGGAAGGGTACGAACCTCTCAAGGCTCATTCATTCTTTGAATCCATCACATGGGAGAATCTGCACCAGCAGACACCCCCGAAGCTCACAGCTTACTTACCAGCCATGTCAGAGGACGACGAGGACTGCTATGGCAATGTAAGCCAGCACCCATGGGAGAGTCTGGGCAGAGAGGACTGCTTATGCCACAAGGCATGTCTCCTCTGCACACAAGGGGTCCATGCCCTCGTGCCACGGGACATGGATTTGTGTGATTAGTGTGAGTCAGCATTACAGAGTATTAGTGGTTGGACACTTCCCTGCTATGTAGCTGTGACCAGCAGGCCTGGGGAGGGCTAAGTCTTGCTCCTCATTTCCTCAGCTGTGAGTGGTGTGATGAGTTGTGCCCATAGGGGTGGAGCTGGCGGCTCATGCTGTGTGAGGGCATGACACCCTGCCTGCACTCATCTCTGGGCTCCTGGCCCAGGGCTCACTGGTGGCAGCTTTTGGCTCTGTGCTTTTATAATTGTGTCTAAGATATTTGTGAATGCTGCTTATCTCTTAAAAGATATCTGGGCCCCTCCTGCCTTGAACTTTTGGACATGTGACTTTGGAGGGTAGCTCCTAGTCAGTGCATATCCATGCTCAGCAGGAGCAGGCCTGCCTAGTCTGAAGGATGCAGCTCCAGGGTCTGTGAGCAGTAGCTGTCACTGACTTTGAGCTGCTTATCTCCCAAAGCTTGACTATAGGCACACGGTTTTATTATTACCTTGTTACTAAAACTTTCTCTCTCTTTTTTTTTTTTTTTTTTTTTTTTTTGAGACAAGGTCTCATTATGTAGTTCGGACTGGCCTTGAGCTCACTTTCTAGCCCAGGCTGGTCTCGAACTTGTAATGATCCTCCTGCCTCAGTCTCCCAAGTGCTGGGATTACCGGTGTGTGCCACCATGCCTGGTCTTTCTCTTTTTTTCGAGACAGGGTCTTGCTATGTAGTTCAGGATGGCCCTGAACTCACTATGTGGCCAGGGTCTTGCTGTGTAGTTCAGGCCAGCCCTGAGCTCACTGTGTAGCCTATTGTGGCCTTGAACTCATGCCAATCCTCCTGCCTCAGCCTCTCAAGGGCTGGGATTACAAGCATATACTGCCATGCCTGTCCTATCTGGGCTCTTTTTATCATTTTCCATTGTGACCCCAATGTACTTAGAAGTGATTTTAGAAGTTCTTTATTGTTGATACACATTTTTCTGGTTTGATTGGCATTGAAATATTTTCTAGCCAGTTCCTGAGCATAGAATTCCATTTCAGTTGACTAAGGAACTTTAGCTTGTACCTAAAATTCTTCCAGAGCTACACTAAAGTCACTACTGCCTTAGCTTAGCAGCCCGATAGGTCAGTGGAGGAGAATAAGATCTCTCTACACTTACCAGAAGAGACAGGCAGGCCATCTGCCTTGGTTGTGTGTATGAGCCCACTAGGTGTGGGAGGGCCTCAGGGATAGATGCTGTGTGGGGTTTTGACCCAAGAGGCAAATTAAGGCACCTTTCTTTGTTTTCCTTCTTCCCTACAGTATGATAATCTCCTAAGCCAATTTGGCTGCATGCAAGTATCATCATCATCCTCCTCCCATTCCCTGTCTGCAGTGGATGCCAGCCTGCCCCATAGGTCGGGCAGCAACATAGAGCAGTACATCCATGATTTGGACACTAATTCTTTTGAACTGGACTTACAGTTTTCTGAAGATGAGAAGATATTATTATTGGAGAAGCAAGCCAGTGGAAATCCTTGGTAAGAATTATAGGGATAAATATACCTCTGTATATAAATGCAGTGAGCCTGGATACCTGCAGTGCAGCAGGTATCCAGCAGGGATGCTGAGTGAGGCTCATAGTGACATCTTGTCCTTGAGCTGCCTACCTAGCTGTTCAAGTGCTCTTTTTTTTTTTTTTTTTTGTCTTTAAAGACAGGTTCTCACTATGTAGTTCCTGGCCTTGAATTCACTACGTAGCCCAGGCTGCCTCAAACTCATGGCAATCCTCCTGAGTCAGCCTCCTAAGTGCTGGGATTTGAATGCTCCTAAAAAGAGGACACTCAAGGGGTGGTTGGAATGTGATATTTAGGAGACTGTGGGTCTAAGGGTTGAGTAGACTCAGGTATCCTAGTTCCAGAGGGCAAGGCTGCAGACAGTCCCCTGCTTTGTCAGATGTGAGCTGTCTGTGACTGAAATAACTACGGTCCTTTGCTGAGGCATTCAGAGGATTTCTAAGGTTTTGATTTCTGTTTATATTGAGGCAGACATTTTCTATGTTCACTAGGCATTTGTGTTTACTTTTTTGAGGTACTTTGTGTACTTTGCATCATTCATTCATTCATCCATTCATTTATTTATGTAGAGGCAAGGTCTAGCTCTATAGTTCAGGCTGGCCTTGAATTCTCCATGTAGCTGAGGCTGGCTTTGAATTTGCTGCAATTCTTCTGCTTCAGCCTCCTGAGTTCTGGGATAATAGCCATGTGCACCATGCCAGGCTCTTTGCAGTTTTTAAAAGTCAATTTTTAAGAGCCATATGTATGAAAGATATTATGTATTGTGTATTTTGTCAAAATTTTCCTTCCAATATGTTCTTCAGTCTGTTAATGGTGTATTTTGGATGGAAGTTACATGTTCCTACAAAACTAAACTTGTTATTATTTTGTTTTCCATCTTAGACTTGTTGAAAATGGCCTCAATATTTTTACCTACATTTTATTCAAGAGGTTTTTATGCTTTTAGTGCTTTTTTATGGGCAGAATGTGGTCCAGGGCAGTGGAGATCTCTCAGGTAGGCATGGAGTAGGATGAGGTGGAAAGAGAAGACAGACAGGAAACAGTTGAGGGCTCACTGAGACAGGAGAAAGTTCACAGGGCTCAAGGGACTTTTGGGGAAGAATGAGAGGTAAAGGAGCTAAGCTGAGTATGGTGGCACACACCTGTAATCCCAGCACTCGGGAGGCTGAGGCAGGAGGATCACTGTGAGTTTGAAGCCAGCCTGGGGCTACATAAGTGGGTTTAAGGCCAGTCTGCACTACATTATGAGATCCTGACTCAAAAATAGGAGAGGAGTTGAGCTCTCAGTGGCTTTCTTAGCACAGTCCAGAGGGAGGGAAAAGCATACATGTGGCTAAAATTAGGATGTCATACCATTAGAAATTACTGTCTCTAGAAAGACTTGAGTATAATGTCAGTCCTCAGAAATATGCTACAATTATAGGGAGTTTAAATTTGTCCTTTAATTCTTTGTTTCCTAAAATAATGTTATTAAGGATATGAAAAAAGGTTGGTGTTTTGTTTTGTTTTGTTTTGTTTTGTTTTGTTTTGTTTTGTTTGCAGTATTGGGGATTCAACCTAGGGACTGCGAACCTACATCCTCACCCTTTTTAAAATTTTATTTTAGGGGCTGGGGATTTAGCTCAGCAGCACAGCACCTGCCTGGCAAGCACAAGGTTCGATTCCTGGTACTGGAAGAAAAACAAACAAACAAGCAAAAAAAATGAAATAAAATAAAATTTTATTTTGAGATGGGGTCTCATTTAGTTGTCCAGGCTGGCCAGGAACTTGTGATCTCTTGCCTTAGCCTCTCAAGTAGCTGGGATTATGGGCATGTAACACCATACTTAGTATACTTTGTCCTTTAAACAGTATTTTAAAACATTTTTTTTTACAAGTACATGTTTATAGTACATAATGATTACATTTATGAGTAGTTGATACATGTACATGACACATCTTAATTCTTTTTATGTCCCTTTTCCTCCTTCCTTCCTTTCATAAACAGTGATTTTCAAGGTATGGCCACAGAGTCCCCAGGGTGAGACAAAAACTAAGTGTGTGTAATAATTCTCAGATGATACTTACCTTTTTTACTTTTATTCTCTGATAGTATACAGTGGAGTTTTTCAGTGCCTATAGTAGCGCAGATGTTATCTTGATAGTGTGTGCTTTTGCTTTTCTAGAATTTTTGTTTTCTTTTTGTCTTTTTTTTTTCCAGACAGGATCTTGCTATATAGTTCTGGTTCGCCTTAACTCATTAGGTAGCCCAGGCTGGCCTCAAACTCACAGTGATCCTTCTGCCTTAGCCTCCCAAGTGTTGGGATTACAGGTGTGTGCCACTATGCCTAGCTTAGAATTTTCTGAAGTAGTAGATTTATAGTTCACATATGTACATTTTTGGAGATTAATAAATTCTCAGTATTCTACTGAACTTTTAATGTGAGATCTTAAAATATGCCTACTATAATTTTTGTAATTTTATATCATGCAATAAATCATCATTTTGAAACCCTGAGATTTTCCTTGTCCCTGCATGGAAATACAAGAAGTAAGTATACTTCTCTGACTACAATAGTATTAAAAATTTTATGTGCCAGGCATGGTAGCACATGCCTGTCATCCCAGCACTTGGGAGGCTGAGGCAGGAGGATCACCAGAAGTTCAAGGCCAACCTGGGCTTCTTAGTGAGATGCTGTCTCCAAAAAAAAAAAAAAATTTTTTTTAATCAAGAGTTTTTGGGCTGGGGATATGGCTCCGTGGTAGAGCTCTTGCCTTCTTGCCTTGCATGTACAAGGCCCCAGGTTCGATTCCTGGTTCCCAAAAAAAAAAAAAA